TCCTAATTCTCTGCTTGCCCGTGCCAGCTTGACCAAATTGTGATTGACTGCTGTCCCACATGGTGTGTGTGTGTGTGTGTGTGTGTGTGTGTGTGTGTGTGTGTGTGTGTGTGTGTGTGTGTGTGTGTGTGTGTGTGTGTGTGTGTATGTGTGTGTGTGTGTGTGTGTGTGTGTGTGTGTGTGTGTGTGTGTGTGTGTGTACTTGTTTACGCACAAGTGACCCATCCGTCCCTCCCTTCCCCCTTCCTACACCTCCTCTTCTCTAGATTAACCGGATCAGTTTTGGGTTTCAGGATCCCCTATGCTGGCTGCTCACACACACTCACACACACTCAGACACACACACACATGACAACACTGGCGGTTGGCTTTTTTGGCCCGTGTGACGCACTATTGGACCCCTAACAGTCTGGGCTGCCATCTGTCACAATACAGGAGAGACCAGATACACACTCCAATAACAAATGTTAGCTCTGGTGTACATACGGCACGACTTGATGATGCCTCCATCTTTGTAAACACTGCAGAAGGATCCACATTTATTCACCGAAATAACTTATGGCTTCGTTTAAGGCTAGGAGATGAGGAGGAAATCCAGATTCTTTCCAAATAAAAAAACCTCAATATCTTGTAACAATATTGTAACATATACTATTTGTGATTTCACAGAATAATTACACAGTGAGTTTTTAAAAACGGTAATCTGGATATGTTTACTAAGAAGGTCAATAATATAACAGAAAGGTCAGGTAAATACAGAAAATGACATACATATATGTTACAATTGAATAAACAGTATACTGTACTATGTGCACATTTCTGCTTAACTTCTGTTGTATTGCATATTCCCACAAAATTATTCTTAATTTTCTATAAATATTCTCACTTGAGCTTCTTACTTTTCTATAAATATAAATATATACAGTATTTTTTTTTTATACAACGTTTTATGTGTATTCTATTTTTCTTCTTTATTTTATTCTTAAATAGAGCAACTGTCACTTAACCCAATTTCTTCTGGAATAAATCAAGTAATCTGATTCTTATAATTCACTATAATGCATGACACCAATGCAGTATCCCAAAATCCAAGATCTATGATGATAACCAGCCTCATATCACAGTAAGATATCGCTATATTTTTCAGTTTTACCTTCAACTGTCTCCTATTAATTCTAATAAGCGGGAACTGGTTTGATCCCAGCTTTCCAAACTGTATCCTGACAGGCAGAGCTCAGCACACAGGGAACATTTCTCCTTTTGCCTGAGGAGCTTTTATTCTCTATATTTCATTTCCTTTTTGCTCATAAGAAGTATTACCTCTCCTGGCTCCATGAAACTCATTTGAGAAAAGGAGCAATTGGAGAATCAAAAGTAAGGCATTTCCTGGCCAACAGATAAAAGAATATCAAATCTCTCATCACAGAAGACGCCATGTCGACACCAACGGCCGCGGCTCTTGTATAATGCTGATCTGATCTGTGACTACGGGCTTTGTTATATGACTTATTGCTGCTGATGTAACCCGCCAGCAGCACTTTTATCCGTGTGCATCCGCATGAGTTTGTGTCTGTGGTTCGTGGCAGCAGATGGTGGCGGCAGTATTACCACTGACGGATGGACAGGATGGAGAGACAGCGCTGTGTTCAGGCTCTTCCTCCCATCCCCTGTGTGTCAGACGGATGAATGGCCGTCTATCTCTCTCAGTCAGCAGCTCTTCCATCATGCGTCTCCCCGCTCGTTCTTCCCCTCCTCTGTAAAGACGTCAGACTTGTCTATTACTCCTTTCATCCCTCAGCAGTAAAGGTGTAAAAATCCTGCTTTTAAAAGTAGAAAAAGGATCGGCAACAGAATATACTCAGAGTACCTAAAGTAAAAGCACTTGTTATGCATTATGGCACATTTCAGAATCATATAGATATTCATTAAGGGATTATTATTATTGATGCATTAATGTGTCAATGACAGCTAATAAAGGTGATTACTTTGTATACTATTGCTGGATATCTCAACCTATAGTCATATTTTGATACTCATCTGAAAGAATTGGGAGGTAACTAAGTACATTTACTTAAGTACAATGTTGAGGTACTTTACTTGAGTATTTCCATGTTATGCTTTATACTTCTACTCGACTACATTTAAAGGGAAATAATGTACGACTTTTAGTACTTTGAGTTTATTCTGATGCCAATACTTACTTTTGGATGCAGGATTTCTACTTGTAACAGTATTTTACAATTAAGTACTACTACTACTTTTACTTTAATAAAGTATCTGAGTACTTCTTCAACAATTGAAGTCCACAAAATCGAATTTCTCTTGACTAGTATTTAGCGCCACTAAACTGCAAAGACACACAATGCAGCTTACACAATGGCTGTGATCAAATTTGTCAACAATATAAATTATGGTTAGGATGTATGTACCTAACTTTAAAATGTATTTCTGTCGGATGAGTATCTATCCCCCCCCCCCCCCCTCCTCATCAATCCATCCCTCCATCCCACGTTAGGTGTGTTTGTTTCCCTGTGTAGCTCTAAATCTGCACAGAGTGTGTTTGTCAATGGCTGTGTGGGCGTGTGTGTGTATCTGCGTGTGCCAGATCACTATCTACCCTCCCCCCTCCCCTCGCCCACTTAGTGTGTGTGGTGCGAATCAAGGTCAGTGGGGATCTGTTGGCAAACCCCCCTCTCTCATTCTCATCCATCCCATCTAACCCCTCCCTCCCTCTCTGCCGCCCACAAACACACACGCACACACACACACACACACACACACACACACACACACACACACACACACACACACACACACACACACACACACACACACACGCACACGCACACACACCCAGATGGTTTGTGTGTGTTGTGCCCATCTAGATGTCCCCGCTCCTCCTACTTCGGCTCAGTTTAGCTCGGCTCAGCTCGGCCCCCTGGATTAATTACTGTGGAACCCACCGCGTCCCTGACCTCCACCGCCGGACTAATTGAAATCTAATTGAATTGTGCTTGTCTAGACTAATGAAGCCCCGCCACTGAAACCACCAATCTCTTAGCCGTATAGCTGCAGGCCGATAGCCACCCAGCTGCACCGTGCCGACGTATGGGTGGAGCGATGGATATAGAGCTCGGGTTACTTGCATGCTGGATGGATGTTTGATGGTTTTATCACAGGTGTTGTTAAGTTTAAAGTTAGGTACATACATACATCCCAACCAGCATTTTTATTTTCGACAAATCCCAGCCTATGCGAATAAGCTGTGTTTTGTGTCTCTGCTGTTTAGGGGCGCCCAATACTGGTCAAAGGAAACTAATTTCAAAATAAAAGTGTCGAGGATACGGGACAAACTAAATCAAACTGAATATTAATAGCAGTATTATATCCCATTGACTTAAAGTGGACCTATCATGCTATATTTGAATAATATATTGTAGGGCCATACCTATATAAAACATGTCTGTGAAGTCTTTTCATCTACTCAAGCTCAGGGTTATTTACTTGCTGCATCAGTGTGTAATTTAGGTTGGAAATGTTTGTATAGAGGGAAACCTACTCTCCCACAATCTTGGCCATGTCCTCAGCTGAGACTCTTATCATACAGTGTGTGTGCAGGGTTTACAGAGGTAGGGGGGGTGTTGATGAAAAGTACCTGCCTTTGCACTAAAAGCGTCAGAGGGAGCTTGGATCCTAGCAGGAAGCTCAATCCTCCTGCTGAGGCCGATCGCTGACAGGTGAGGAGAAGTGGCAGAGACACCTGGCAGTCTGCATCCTCCCCACTGTGCAGGGGAAATTAGCCAAAGCCATTTATGGACAGGAAGAGTCTTCTTACATAGAAATCTCCACAACCACTTCTGTTTACTCTGGATTTTCCTGGCTACAAACGTACGCCCTGTTGCCAAAAATAAACAACTACAGACACAAAAAAACAGTGCCCTTGCTTATTGTTTCATGAAGAATATTGAGGAGCTATGAAGCTGTGTGCAAAAGATGGCACCAGCGTTTGTATTGACTTGTCCTATTTGAACATGAATAAAACCATGGTTATCACGTGTTATCGAGTCAGTTCTGTTCTTTTCTTTAATGTCAGGGTTTGGTAACGTGTCTTTAAGGAGCAGAAACTCTCGCACTCAGGTTATAAAGTGGTCTAGCAGACTGATTGCCGAGCTACAGCTAAACCTGAAGACCCTTTACCTCAGACAGTTACAGCGGTTATACAGCTTTATATTGGACGATAACTCCCCCCCCCCCCCCTCTCCTTCTGACACACAATGAACACGAACCTGAAGGAGGGCAGCTGTAGAAAGCGCTTTATGGAAGAGGAGGTGGAGGAAGGAGGAGGAGGGGGTGTGGAGGTCAACCCCAGGGAGGTGTTTGTTTTGTTGGGTCTGCTTTAGCTTTTAGCAGGTGAGAGACGGAGCCGTGATTCCCTATAAGTTATTCATTTGACGCTTCCTCCCTTCTCAGCTCTTTGTAGGCTGGAATACATTAGCAGCCTGGCAGAGGGGAGAGGGGAGAGGGGAGAGGATGCTAATGTTGAAGAGAGGGAGAGGAGAGGAGAGGAAGAAAGGCAGAGGAGGGAAGGAGGCAGAGTCATTAGAGGAGGGGAACAGAGGGGGGAGAGGACACAGCTTTATGATGTGTGGGAAGGAGAGTGACCTTCCCTCTCACTTTCATCTTGGCTTCACTCTCCTCTTGCCTTTCTCCCTGACACATACGCACACACGCACGCACACGCACACACACACTCCGACACACCCAGAGTTTCATACACTTAAATGTCCAGTGTCTTTGACTTTGGGGGATCTTTAAGCAGAAATGTAATATAATATTCATTACCATGTTTTCATTGGCTTATAATCACTTGAAACTCTATCCCTTCATATATCTACCTTTTCTTTAGCAGAAGCACACACACACACACGCACACGCACACGCACACACAGACCTGAGTTTCAGTTTATAATTATGTCGTTCTTCTTCTTCTTCCTGCTCAGGTTCCTTTACAACCCGGCCAGTCTTTCAAATTCACCGTCCTGGAGACCCTGGACCGTATCAAGGAGGAATTCCAGTTCCTCCAGGCGCAGTATCACAGGTACACACACACACTATATTATAATACACACATGACACACATAGTATCACATCTCTTTGTCAATCGTTAGCACATTACAGTTTCTTCTCATCACAAAGCAGTGGCTGGTATAAAGAACCATTTTTTCACTTTCTTTTTATCATATAATATGCAGTCGAAACACATTTGAAAGTGCTTTGTATACCACACTTGGATGAGATGCATTGAAAAAGCAAACTGACATGACATGCAAAACTTTATCAGGACCCTTTTGGGCTCACCAACAGTACTCTTATATAAACTCACCAATGTACACATGACAAATATAACTAGACACAGAAGGACTTGTGAAACTGACCTCACATGGACGTGTGATGAATTGCAGAAGAGAATAAAACACACACCCTGCTGGCATTTGCTTCCATGAAGGTGATATCTTTCAGTGTCACTTTTAGCAGTGATAGGTAGCCTGAGAATATTTTGTAGGTATCCTTACACAGCATTAAACTCGGTTTGACCTCTGCAATATCCTGTGGAAATTATAATTCACTTCAGTGGATTTAAATACACCATTTAATCCACGTGTGTCCTTCCTCCGTCCTTGTGCAGCCTGAAACTGGAGTGTGAGAAGCTGGCCAGTGAGAAGACGGAGATGCAGAGGCACTACATCATGGTGAGTCCAATCAGACCTTTACCACAGCTGTATTTGGAATTTCTTTTGTGTCTGGGCCAATCAGAACCTCTGAACAGAGTCTGATGGGTTCTTACATAGGAGTTGCAATCAGGGGAATTGAGTCTGCGCTTAGTGTTTTTGCTGCATTTAGTATTTAGTGTCATTCAGGAGCAATGACGAGCTCTGCTTGGCTCTTCTCTCTCAAGATACATTTTCTCTTCTCTGCTTCAACTTCTCATTTCGTTCACATCAATATGCTGTTTATAAAAACAAACAACCCCAAGGCAATAGACATTTTGTGCATTATAAAATACCCAAAACAGATTTTTAACATTTGAGTCATATTGAATTGACATCCAGTGGCTTAAAAACAACTTTGAAAAAACACTATTATATTTAAAGGGGCCCTATTATGCTTTTTGGGGGTTTTCCCTTTCCTGTAGTGTGATATATGCCTCCATTGTACTTACTTCTGGAACATAATGACATCACTGTGTAACACTCCCGCTTCTGTTGGTTGGCACTCCAACACATTGTACGTGATAGGCTAATCATCTCTAAGTGGTTGACCAATCACAACAGAGCCGGCCAGCTAACCAATCAGAGCAGACTGGGCTCTGGTTTCTGACAGAGGGTGAAAAGAGGTGCTGCAGCACAGGCGGTATGAGGAAAATAAAGAGCTTTTTGAACATTAAAGCATGGAGACATGTAACCATAGAGACACACAATACAAATGTGAAACCTGAAAATGAGCATAATAGGGCCGCTTTAATAACTGATCATTATCTACTTTGAAAAACATGTTATTTTTTATTTGTATACACATTTGAATATGTGTAATAGCATATAATTTAACATTTCCACAAGTTGCACAAACCACGACTGAGCTAGTATTTTGTTTCTCCGTCTGTGTTTCTTGCACACTTTTTTATCTCGCTCACTCAAACTTTCCTCTTAAACCTACTTCTTCTTTTATCCATATCATTTTCAATTTTTCCCCCCTACTTCAGTCTCTGCTTCGTCTTTTTGTTTTCTCTCGTGCGCTAACAGCCCGAGCTCCCTCTGCGTCGGTGTGTCTGAGCGACTAAAGGCTCACGTGTATCGTAAGCCTTCGTCTGTGGTACAAAACCAACACAGAGCCGACCAGAATACGATATGCACCATCTGCTAAGCTGCTCGCATTTCATAAACCTGGGAGAGCAGGCGGGATCAGGGCCGTAAGCTAGATAGACACACAGATGGAGAGAGAGAGAGGCAGACAGGCAGATATATGGACAAACAGACTGAGTGTGAGAGAGAGAGAGGCAGGCAGACAAACGGATAAAGAAGCACACACAGACAGACAGGAAGACAGACAGCAGATAACAGATACAACACTCACACACAAACACACAGGAGATGCACTCTACACACGTCCATTCATCTTCACAAACACACACACACTTGTTCTTCTCTTCCTGTGAGGATCTACCATTAAGTTACTTTATTCCTCAGGCCCCAACTTATCCTAATTCCTGTAATGACTGACATTAAGTGCCTGATTAAATCAAAACCTGTCGAAAACAGTTTGACTATATAATCAAATGCACTGTTTGATAATGTCATAGCATTATTACTTTACAAATGGTGTGCTTCAAATATTTTATGAGTGATTAAATAATAAAGCACTTTTTGAACATTAAAGCATGTAAACATGTCACAGTAGGCACAACATACAAATATGAACCTGAAGATTAGCATAATAGGGCTTCTTTAATCAGGACTTGTGACCAAAGTGGGTGTTGTTTCACAAAAATGACACTTACTGTAAAAGTAGAGATGACATTTTTCTTGGCTGATACAAAAACATTTTTTATAAAGTTTTACCTGCGACCTCTCACTCAAACTAATCTCAAAATAAATGTTCCCGGAATAAAACAGTTGCAACAAAACTAAATATCAACACAGCTGTTTCAAATGTTTTTAGAAGGAAACTTATCCGACTTTCAACCAGTTGGTAGCGTTGTAATGTGGTTAGAGGAAAGCCAAACATCTTTTTTTTATTTGAACATGCCACCCACATTGCAACCATACCGAGCCACACTTCCTCCTCGGTTTATTTTGGACTTGCAGGTGTTACAAATTGCGAGCTTTATGACTTCTTCACTCGTGCTGAAGAACTTCAACACTGACGACATGATGACAAGTGTGTGTGTGTGAAGGTCTGAAGCGTACTGTGCGCCGCAGCTGCCTCAGTGTTGTTGCATGTCGTGCGTGTGTGTTTTTGTGCCACTGTGTGCTGCTCAACATGAAATCATCATGCAAATATGAGACTGGCGGGGATTGGCATCTCTACTTGTCAAATTCAAAATCTCAAAAAGCCAGGTTTCTTTTTAGGATTTTAAACTACACACACCTTCAACTGGTCCCAACAGAATGACTAGTCAAACCAACCTATCTTTATAAACATATCCTCACTATGCTTCTCAAATTGGTACTGGAAGAAACATGTGCACATAATGATACAGAGCAGAACACACACAAAGAAAAACCTTCCAAAAAACACACAGCTATATCAAAAACACCCAGATGTTGTCATATGCAGAGTAGCTGCAGTGGAGTTATGGCAATGACAAGCTCAAGTCATACAGTGCAAGAAAGAAAATAGTGCAAGAGAATGTTGCAATGTGCAGGTAAATGTGTAAGAAACACTATTTACATGTAAAATAGAATAAAATTAGCACGTACCTAATGTCAGACACTCCTAATTTTAGCAGTGGTTTCACACGACTACAGTGCAGGGCAACAATGAGAACAGACTCACATCCACCTTCTTCGCATGCAACTGTTTATCTTTCCTTGGACAGAGGCTATGGAAGACATTTGATCAAACTTTGTGCATATGAAATGTCATGGCCTTTGAGTCCCCTGCACTGTTGGTAAACTAAAAGAGTAAGAGATAAGCACGAGAGCGTCATCTGCGTTATGTTGTGTGTAGGTTCATGTCGCTTCAGTTGCAGATGCCACATCCATATACTGTATGTTAGCATAGCAGGCGGTTAGCACTCCAGGCTGTGTTATTTGAACTGGGGCTCACTGTGGTGTAGTAGTGGACGGCTTACACAGTGCTATGCAGCTTCATCGGCATGGCTCAGAAATGAGAGGACGAGAAAAATGGAGAGAAAAAGCGACAGAGGAGGGAAAGAGAGGCTCAAAGGGAAAGATAGCTTGAGAGGAAAAAAGGCTCAGAGAGTGTCAGACAGAAAGAAAAACAGGGAGCAGCTGAGGGAGGGAAAGATACAAAGGGACGCAGAGATACAGAGAATGAAAGAGGGGAGGGAGGGAGTGATAGAGGAGATATGGAGGGATAGAGAGGGGAAAGGAAAAGCTGAAAAGGAATAAGAGAGACGAAATGAGAAAGAGAAGATACCAAGGGACAGAAGAGAGGAGAGAGGAGAGACGGAGGGTGAAAAAAGATGCTGTGAAAGGATGAAATGGAGAGAGAGAAAGGAGACTATATGCATCACAGAGTGAGAGAAAGAGATAGTGATGTGTTTGTGTGGGGGGGCGTGAAATGAAAGAAAGAGAGATAGAGAGGGGAAGAGAGAGCGGGTGCACGCACAGATACGTAAATAATGTGAAGCAACAACGGACTGGCTGCGCCCACAGAGGAGATAACCCAGAAGGCTATATTTAGCTTGTTAGGCCTGTCATCCACACTCAGGCCTGTTTCCACACTGCACTGCTACTGCCTCCACTGCTCAGTTCAGCCTGTTTAATATACAAAGGTCAGGGTTTGGAAAGTAGGGAGATGGTGAAACAGGGTAATTAAAGCTAATGCATGCGAATGTGAAAGCTGAAACACCTAAGACGATATGATGATTTAGAAAACTTGTATTTGCTGGCAATCGTTTAACTAGATTTTTGAATGAATGATTTATTTATTTGAACCGGGACAGTGCACATTAATGAACATTTTAAACAAAATAATGCTTTTAAATGTAAATGAGCCGGATTTGAGCTTTGAGCTAGTTTCCATCCGTAGTCCCGTCACATACAACATTTATGAACATAACATTTATATACATGGCAAACAGAAATACATGATATGCATTTTTTTTCATTGTTATGGTGTTTTTGCAATGAGGAAGTATAGAGTGGTGCAGTGGTGGCGTATTTTTGTAGGTTGACCCGAAGGTTAGCATCTTCGTATATCATATATTTAGCAGATAATAAGCTTTGTGGCACCACTTTGTGATTTTTGAACGAACTACATCACAGTCCCATTTCTGCGCATCACCACGGCTAAGCTAACGGCGGACTTGTGAAAGCGTGATGAAGTTTGTAGTTTATTAAGTCACTTGTTAGAAATTGCTGTTTGTATGACATGTAGAAGCTTTGGACATTCACAAGTGGGATATTTACTGATGTGTTTGATGTCCTAGATCAAAATAATTTCATGCTTCTAAACACAAACAGGTTAAAAAAATATTTACTTCTCGGCAAAGGAACCAGAAGTGGTCAAATGCAACGTATTTATCTAGGTTAAGGACTCCAGTTTCGTACAGACAGTCCATCTGGTTCTCATTCGACCATCCCTGGTTGTTTTCTAACCTTAATCAAAAAGACATTTGAACCCAAAACAAAATGTCTCCACCATCCTGACAGTTTTTGAGGTTTATTCTTACTTAACCCCAACTATAGTGCAGCAAATTAGGAGGACATTGACGAATCTAACCCGAACCAGAACTCGCTTGTACATGTCGTCCTGGAAGGCATTTTCCGATGATGTGTTTGCTGTTTTACTTGGAAGACTTGTTGCATTTGGCACTGTCTTTATCTTTGTATTTTCCCTTAGAGAAAGTGCGAGAAAGGTGCCAATGTTGTCAGATCATCAGCCATCCTGTCATAACTTGCTTACTTGCACATTATTCTTGTCACAATTAAACCATGACTGCTGTAGGCGTGTGATTTCCTCAGAGGCAAATAACCTGAAAATCTAGACCTGAAAGACTTTCTTT